GACAAATTTTCGAGATTATAGGCATTAAGCGCGCTGGAAAATTGCATCAAGAATAAACAGCGAGAGCGTATCGCTGAAAAAGAACCGATAAACCACATGCGTATCGTTAAACGTCGTCATATCGGGCGACCACGAGTGGACCGAAAAGAGCGGCGACCATCGAGAAGGTGATCTCGGGCAGCGGTCTCTTTCGGATACGACGATTATGGACAATAACTTCATTTCACCCCGGGAACTAGTTTTCCTGGTGGTTTTTAATGTTTCCGATCACGCCGCGACCGGGACACGCCGCCTAGTTATTTGCTCACGCTCCAATACATCATTTCGTCCGGCATAATCGCTAATTGACCCCCGAGATTTCAGGGAAAGACACAAAGTCGCAAACTAGCAGCGGACCCACCCTCACATACCGCGCTGTTACACTTCCTCGTCGCAGTTGACCACGGAAATCTAGCTGCTAGCTGTCGTTAATGGGGAATCTTTACTTTACGGCTTCGACGAACGCACGTTTTACTATTGGAAACCGTGAAATCGTTCTATTCCTTTGTAGGCCATTTATCGTGATTGAAGAAGAGATGTGGAGAAATTTTCTAATTTAAAGAGAAAAAAAGAGAAATACAATTTGAGTTATTTAATAATAAAATATTATTTTACTTTTATTGCTTATTTTGAACGCAAAAGATTAAGCAGTAAACTAAGTGGATCATTCAAATTTTTGTGTTACACAGTAACGAAAATAAAAATTGCAATATGAAACAATACACGATTGAAGAAGGCCATGCGAAATATATACATACGATCGTTAGACAGATCGATTGAGTCGATTAGTGTTGCGAGACGAGAAGAAATCACCGCGGGCCGAGTGTTTTGCAAGGCGTCTCGTCTCGGGCCTTCGTTACGGCGAAGAGGCCTCGTTTGAGAAGCGTTTCACGCGTTCGGGCAGAATAGAGGAGTGCACGTCATGCTTAGAATCGCCGGGCAAACAACACAAACGAAACGAAGCGGCGGCGGCATGGTAGCCTCGCGCTCTCGTAAGGACAAAATGAGGAATCTGAAAAGCGGAACCGTATAATGCGGTGATTGTATTCCCGGAATCTGCGCGGCACGCACTCTCTTAACAAGCCCGGACGAGCTCGTTCTGTCTGGCCGACTGTAGACACGAGAGCTCGAAGAGCAGGCTGCTCGTCGCGGGCGACACCCTGCCAGCCGTCAGCAGACGCGGTAGTCGGCTTAATAATTAAAAAAAAAGGATGTATATGGACGATAAGTCATTTATTAAAACACGAGATGTATATTCGGTTATTGCTCGGTCAACGGAACGATTTTATTTAATTATGTGGACTTGCCACGTAAAAGAAAAATAATTATTTTCAACTGTGCGTAACAGTACGATATTTTTCAATAACGTAATTATTTTTAGTAATTTTCTTCAATATATTTTAAATATATACGCGTCTAGTTTCTGAGAAAAGTTTGCAGAATGTAATATGCGTTCTTATTAAGCTAATTTTTGTTCTCAACATTCCGCCTTTAGGAATTTTAGGAAATATCTAAAACTGAAAGTTTGGTCGAATGAGTGAGTTGCAAGTTATGAAGGACGGCTGTCCGTTCTCGGAAGGCAGCAATAATGATTTTGGGTTAATTGCTCGCTTCTCGATCTAATAGAGAACATATCTATCAGCACGTTGGATTCAATGAATTATTGATGAAATGACGTGGATGAAGGGAAGGTCAATCGGCGAAGGCGGTGGAGGATCGTCGTGGGCAGAAGAGGGTGGAATAAATGACGTTCCTTCGAATATAAGTATCCCGGGCCCGAAATTCCGTCCAGTCCGCGAGAGCTCACATCTTTATTTGTGAATGCATATTCATGCGGACTGGCCGCAAAGGGCGGTATAGCACGGATAGATTTAGAAGAACGCGAAGGGTGGGAAAGAGTCTTCGTGGAGGGCCGACTGGGATCGCCGTCATACGGCGCTCTCATAAATTACCGCTAGTTGCCGGGTAACATGTTATTTGCCACCGAGCTCCACAAATGAGTTCACTTTGTATTTAATTACTCGAATCACGCCCAGGGCGTATCCCGATGGCGGACCCACCCCGCGCCAGACCGCCTCGCGCGCAGTTTCTCTGCCTTCGTTACTTCTCTCTTCCTTCTGCGCCGCTTCTTTTTCCCCTTCGTCGCGCCAACACAGCGATCCGTGCAATCCTCATTCCGTGTGCATCGCTGTGCTTTTTAATTTTATGTTATTAAAGCAGTATGTTTTCCTCCGAAAGTTGACCATTGCTACCTGACTCCTTTACACTTCTCGCATCTTCCGTGATACGCAAGAAAATTGTGTCACATTTCACTTCAGCTTTTTTAAATATACTTTCTTGCACCTCTATTGTTATATTTCGGTACATTGCACTTTTTTTCTTCAGATTCTTTAAAAGCATTCACTCGTGACGCTTGCGTGACCTCAGGTCTTCAGATTGCATTTGTAATATTGGATTAAGCACCATGTAATTTCAATTTTCCAGAGGAGCCGTTTTTTTGATAAATGCGTTATCTCGTTCGTTCCGATTGCGTCGGCAAGTTTCTGGCAAGCCGAGAAGTCCAGACGCGGCGGAATGAGTGGGTTGAGCCGCGCAACACTGTTGTTATATGGGCAGGTAGATAGAAAGGTAAAAGGTGGAAGGTATATATATATATATATATATATATCTGTGTATAGATGGATAGGGCAAGGGCAAGAGAGCGCAGGTAGGCCAGACTTGCGCGCTTCGCCGTCCTAATTATTGGTTCCGCCACAATTCCATCCGTGGAACGAGATGATAATAGATGAAAGCGATCAATTTTTAAATTGCGCCTGATGAACGGAAAAAAAGCGAGAATATCGCGCGGGATATTGGAAATCGGGCGGGAGCGCGATGTAAGAAAAAAAATCTTATAACACCTGGAGCGCCGATTACTCACGTAACGAGCTGCTTTTTCAAGAAAAAAAATCTCTTTAAGGTGAAATTCGACCGTAAACACCCCGGCCGCGTCGATATTTCATTATCGCGCTAATTTCTGTCTCTCTCCATCTTCCAATCTCTACATTTTTCCGAAACCTTCACGATGCTCCGCGACACGCGAGGCGAGATCGCGAGTCCGGGACTGTTTTGCGCGGGCGTTCTCGTCGAAAATACAGAAGGTTTTTAAAGTAGAGGATTATCGTTTTCTGCTACTTAGGAAGAATTTTCGGGCGGCTGTGAGGCGATCCCCGAAATCCAACACGGCTGCGCGCTCGGAACGAGGACAGAGATCGGGTTGCCCACGGACCACCGTGTCGCGCGGTGGTCACCGCAAACTTTATCCTACCTGTTTTCGCTAATTGAGCGAGTAAAAATGTAACTGGACCTCACGCCCTTAAAGTATTTGCACCCCTTTGCGCAGATACGATCCGTCTCTCAATCGCGGGAGAGCCGGGCAACCCAAGTCAGGCCGATCTTTCGTGGCGCTCGAGATGCATCGAGATGCATTCCGGAAAGCTCTTGAGAAATTTCTGGCAGACGTGGTTTTCTTTTGGGAAGCGCGTGAGAATGTACTTAAGGGCTAAATATATCTTTAAGCAAACCAGTTTGTGGTATAAGCTAGCATAAATCGAATTCATGTGACATTCACAGAAATCTTTATCTAACAGGATTCAATTATATTAATTTTTTATGCACGAAATATAACGCAATGCGCTCGCGTGTGCGCACAAGATAATAAAAGCAAATCAGATCTGTAATATTTGGCAACGAAGTGAAAATTCTTGAATATTTTTTTATATTAATATTTTCGATTCTGTAATTTATTTACGCCAATAATTTTACGATTCTCAAAACTCTCAAAATTCGCTTTAACTTAGAATCTAATAAAACTTGAAATCGACATGTATCTATTTGCAATCAATTTTTATTACGCATTTTTTTTCATGACGTTTTGGAAAATTTAAAAACATTTCTACAATATTCTAGCATTCAGATAAATTACTTATATATATATATATCTTGCTTTGAAGCGTACTTGTATACCACTCGTTGATCCAATTATTAATATAATGCTTCACCTGCGCTCGTTGGCCAAAACTCGCACCGCTTATATTCTCCCTCGTAAGACAATTAAAGACAATTTTCCGGTATTGTGCTCGGGGTGGCGTAAGAAACGAACGACGAAATATATACGGTGCCTCGACAACGGCTAACGAGCGATTCACATTACGAAGCAGGAGTCTCACAATTATCGTTATCATATATTATTCCGTTGAATAGTCTTTGTACTCATGTGCCGTCTGAAGAATACATAAAAAACATGAAAGAGAAAAACTTGAGCAAGTAGGTCAACGCGAGCAATAGGCAAATTCGAGCATAATTTCGGATAATCAACAACGCCGACTGAATCGACAATTTTGAAAAATATTGTTCACTCGTCCAACGCGCAAGTTCTATTACTCGTTTCTACCTCCTTTTTATGATTTTAATGGCTACACGGCTCCATATGCGAGATCGTACGTGTACGACGGAGGCGCCGGGCCACCTGTTGCGGCCTCTGCTCGCGTACCCCGGACTCGGTCCGGCTCCGGGGCACCGGCTCCCTCCTGTCGAAGTGGGGAGCCGCGCTCGACGATGATTGGCGGCGCGGCACGTGCTACGTTAGGGTGCCTCGCTCCGCGAACGCATAAATATCCCGACGCCGTTCCACCCGACTTCAGAACCACCCCGTGGCTCGACTCGACTCGATTCCACGCATCTACCTACGCGCGAGGAGAAAGTAAATTGCCGATCTTTATATCCATCGATCCCGGACGTCGCGCTCGACAGTTGGAAGTAAAAGGACGGGCTCGAAGGAGCGTTCGAGTGCAGCAGAAGAGCAGATACCTTCGCGATTGGTTGTTGAAGTGCGGTTTCAGTGAAACGATCGGGAGAACGAAAGGGCATCCTTGCACGCGCGGTCGTTTCGCAGAGATCCCGACGATCTCGCAGATCCTGCTATGGAACTGCAGGAGATGTTCCGTTACGGGTACATGTTTCCGCCGCGCGAGGACGAGCCGCTCGCAGCCTGCGCGTACCTGGACTTGCCGAGTTACGGGAAGACGACCGGTAAGACGACGACCGGCGTCGGTCTGCCGCCTGTCAGCACCCTCGCCGTGCCGCAGAGCCTCGTCTACGACGGCAGCAACTGCAGCGACGGCTGGCACACGCCGAGTCCCACGGCCAGTCTGCGATCCGTCAGCCCGGCGACGACACTGTCGATCTCGTCGGAGCCGGAAACAATCAACAGCGCGCCGACGTATCGGCTGTTAGTTTCCACCGCCAGGGACAAGAAGACCGCGAAGAGGAGCTCGATTAGTCTGAGCAGCGTTGGCAGCAAGAGGCTGCGCGTCGACGCGATGGACCACCTCGTGACCGAGGAGATAATTAATCTGGACGGCGAGCGCGACGACGTCGACGAGACGCTCAACCTGGATGTCGACAAGACGCGCCACGGCAGCGTCGTCAGCAACTCGAGCGGCGGCCTGTCCGACAGAACGATGGACGGCGACAGCGAGGAAGACGCAGAGGTTAGCGACGGAGGCGCGGATCATCCGGAAGACGCGCATGCCGCTTCCGGCGGCCGCGACGCTCGCCGACGGGGCAAGTACGTCAACTCGACCATCGTGCGGAAACGCCGGCTGGCCGCAAACGCGCGCGAACGCAGACGGATGCAGAATCTGAATAAGGCCTTCGACAGGCTGCGCGCTTATCTGCCGTCCCTCGGCAACGATAGACAGTTATCGAAATACGAGACGTTGCAAATGGCTCAATCTTACATCACCGCACTTTACGATCTGCTGCAGTGAGGATGCGCGATGAGCGGATAAAGTTCACAGCGATATCGGAAGCTAACAAGCTCGTTAAGCTTGACGAGACGGAGCCGAGCAAGCGAGAGTCGTCGCGTGCGAGATTCGCGAGTTTTTTTTTCTTCGACGTTACGCAGTCGCGGCTGCAACTGGAGATAAAGAAATCGCGAGCATTGACGTGACATTTCTGAACGTGCGCAAAAAATACGGAAAAATGGAAGGCAGAAAATTCAATCCATAATTCAGAGACTTGAAGAATGTTTATGCAGCTAATGTTGTCACATTTGAGAAATGTGCCTTTCGCAGTAAATAAGAATTATTCATATCCGTAATCGATAAATCGATAAGAAATTCTGATTATTTTTCTTCAATTTGGTGATTCGACGGAAAGACGACGAGAAATTATTTTATATTTTCATTTTCTTGAAATTATTTTTGCCAATCATTGTTTGTCATTTATAGTATTTGTTAGTTCTATCTATATGTTTAACATTATTTTTGATACTCGTAGGAACTGCTACTCATAGATACTGGAAAATGTGATAATTACAGATATGCGATCTCGTACAGAATAATTACATGTATATAGACCTTGTAAATTTTGTATTATAGTCCGTTAAGTTAGTCTTAAGCATTGTATCATATCGCCCGCTGAATTGTGTTTATCTATATAATTTATTTTTAATACGAAAATTAGCACGTATTTTTTGCGAGACTGAAAAGCGCGATGTATTTTTGCAGAATAAAATTATTTTACAGTAATCGCACGATTCTATCCGTGATATATTATATCCCAATTTTCGAACAGAAGATTGTATCCCGTCCAATGTATTGTTTTGAAGAACACTCTATACTCCTTTTAAAAGTTATTTCAATTCTAAACCCAACGGATTTCGAATTAATGTTCTTCTTCTTTCAAGTCTTTTCTTATTATCGTCATTCTTCGCCACCGTGCGCCCATACTTGAAAACAGCGGTGTCGATTGTCGATCCAATTTTCGTGCGTACACGCAGCTCCTTGAAGTGAGAATTCGCCAGTGCGTTGGGGTCGATGGATGGATGAATATCCGACGGAGAAGCGAGAGAGACGAGCAACACCACCAACGGTGGTCCGGTCGTTATACGAAACCCGCGCGACGCGTCGGTGCCCGATTTCATCGCAATTTGAGAACCTGCAGACTTCTTCCTTCGGCGATGACTCCTTCCTCCTTTCCTTCCTTCTCGCCCGTCCCACATCCTACTTGTTTTTGGCCGTTCTTCTTCTTTTCGGCGGATAAAATTTTCATTAAATTATTTTAATGATGTATTTTACATAAAGCCGACTCGTATAAAATTTATAATCTATCTTTATACCATGTTATTATCTTATTTGCATTATAATTGATAATAAATATGATATTTATTTCTGTATCACCTGTATTTTGTTTTGAGAATCTCGAAAGAATTTGAAAGCATCGCTTAGACCGCTGAAATAATTAATTAGATCCTAGAATCTTAAGTGGAATGAGTTAATCAAATTGATTCTCGAATTTCTAAAAATTTTAAAATTTTTTCAACAAGAATCTCAATATATCAAAATAATAATTTAATAGAGATATCCTTCAATTTATTATTTTGGTTACAAAATGCGGAAATATTTTTATTACTAGCAACGTGATAAAGCAATGGCTATATTTGCAATAACATGTTCTACAGTGAGCAAAATAATGTTCTTGCAATACTGTTTGAATTTTGCGAATGAAACACTTGAAAGATGTAGGTAACGATCTATAGAACTCTATAAACGTTGGTCATGAGTGCGTGCCGATGAAAATACTTATTTATCGAGGCTGCGCATTTATCGCCGCTGACTTTTTCGATTTTTTTTATACGCACCTATCGTTCCTGGTAAATTACGGCTTGGTGTAAATCTTGGCGTAGCCCGTTACTCTCGAGTGAGGCGCATACAGTTGCAGAAATTTTCCGGAACGTTTAATTGCTCGGGGAATCTCTTGAATCTCTTGGGTTTAGAAAGATAACTGTCTTGCTTGGCGAATTATTCTGACATTCCTCTTTCATCATTCGTAAACCACGCAACTCTCTGATGTAATAATCAATAATGAACGCGAATAGTGTCAGTTAAATAATCGTAGCCAATAAGGAAGTGGCTTACTTTGCAAAATTTTTTCAGTTTCTAAATTTTATTCGATTTTGTTTAAACTGTGATTAACTAATTTTTACATATTTTATACAAGAGCATGATGAACATAATTTTCCGTAGACCACAAAGTTAGATAAATAAATTCTTTTAGGCAACGATGAAAGAAAAGATCGCGGCGTCTAAGTAAATACTGCTGAAGAGTCATAAACCGCTTCGCCTTTCGTGCTCGAGTGACAATAGGCTACAAGAAGTGCCTCCGCTCTTTCGCATTTAACGCTATTTGGGAAAACTTGGGTGTGCAAACCACCACGGGTATTTCTTTCAACCAGAACGGCGAGAAAAGTAGATCCCAAGTGCTAACTTGTACAGCAACTCCACGATCTTTCCTGGAAAATGTAGCAGTCGCTTTATCACGTTGCCGATAATAAAAAATATTTCTTGTAACCAAACTGAATGAATTTAATTATATAGATCTTTATTAAATTATTAAGATAATAAAATTCTTTTGGAAAAGAGGTTAAAATTTTCAGAAATTTGAGAATTAATTTCATCAATTCACTCGCTCATTTTTAAGAAATTCCCGGATTTAATTAATTATTCAAGCGGTCTAATAATGCTTTCAAATTTTTTTCTTATCGCGAAGGTATATTAATATCTTCATAAGGTTAATTATATTTCAGCATGCGTTTCACGCATGTATCGCGCTTCGTCGCGTGGCACTTAATTTTTCTTCGGCTCCGTCATCGCGATAAGATCAAACTACCGTAAGTGGTCGTCGCGAAGCACCGATCGGAGGTCCGCGCGATTCTTGCGACTGGATCTAACCGTGACGATCTCCTCATCGCGGAGGAGGAATACCGGAGGACCCGAGGAGACCGTCTTGGGACCGGGAGGGGGGCGGGCTCCTTTTCGACGAGAGAACGCAAATATTTCCCGAGGCGATTAATTCTACGGAGTCGGCTGCCACCTTCGCTTTGTCAGCAGTCTCCGTTTGTGACAAAGGAGTCCGGCTGCGGATACTTTCGCGGTCAGACAGTAAGGGTTGTACGAGGGGGAGAGGGAAAATAAAGGGACAAACACCGCCGACGTCGTTGTCTGATCTTGGAGATTGCTTTATTTGAAAGACGGTCTAACGCGCGCGCATACGCAGCCAAATATCTCGGTCCTCGGCTACCGCATCGCTCGGGGATCAAGATCTGCGGCGGGGAGGAATCGTAGGGGGAGGGAGACGTAACGCATTATAAGCATCGGGATAATGCAATCTCGCGACCGGATCGAGCGATAACAGCAATCGTCCGGTCGAAATTTGTCGGCGGTGACCGCGCATTCGGCAACCCGCACTTGCGTCCGCAGCACCTGTGTCGTCTTCTCGTCGTCTTCGTTCTGCACTCTTCTTCTTCGCAGCGGCAACCGGACGCTTGTCGACTGAACGGTAATTTATGAGCGGGATACCTTAGTGACCGGAATCGGAGGAACGCAACAGCGGCGGAAACGCGCGTTTCATTGTGTCAAGGTTCGCGTAGTAAAATGACTGTTTAATTTACTGACATCTCATCATATCAATTGAAGACTTCAAAAAGAACCGGTTTTTTTATCTTTCAGGAGGCTAAAAAATTTTAATAATTGTAGCTCTGGCATAGATTTTGCATCCCGCATCAAAGGAATAAATTTCTTTTAATTTATTTTTCCAATAACATTTTGAAGGTCCTATTTAATTCTGAAATTTTCAATTTGATAACGTATAATTAATTAATTATATCTAATATAAAACAAATATTTGCATGTAATTCTAGATGTTATTAGAAATTATAAAATTTCGTGATTTTTAATCTAATGATCTCATTAGTCGTTATATCAATTACGAAATTTTCATCAATATTTTTAATCCCTTGATTCTTATAATTTCTTGGAGCATTTTTAAAAAGGGTAAAATGTAATCATATTTTTTTCCCTTCAGAAATTTATTCCCCTCACAAATTTATTTAACGTAAATATTTTTGCATCTCTAATCGATTTCGTTTGGAACTGAGACGCGTGGCGAGATGAAATTCGGCCACGTGGGGAAGACAAACAGTGTATGCGTCTACTTATGCACCCGTCGTAGCGGAATTACTCGGACTGCACATAAATCAGCCGCTCTTCGCCGACGGCGAACCCGCTGCTATTCGCTCGCGCGACCAACTCGCGACCAACGTGCCCTCGCTCGTTCAAACTCGAGTCTGCCGCATAATGCATTCAATGAATTCGCTCGAGCTTGTTCTCCTGGAAAAATATTTTTATTTTGCAACTTTGCAATGAAAATATACGATATTTTCAATTGCAGGCAAAAGTCAGCCAAACATCATGTTTTAAATATACGGTCGTAATTGTTTCGAAATTTTGACGCGATGCGAAGCTGATCAACATTGATGAAATATAATTCATTCTTCAATAGGAGCATTTTAAAATCGTTGAATACTTCCATCCGGGTGGTCCGACGGAAGTCGATCGGGGGTATTGTCTAAGAAGAAAGGGAAAAAAAAGAAATCCGGAGCGATGTTTCGCATGTGAAGTATAGGTACGATCATCGCGATCCCACGACACAATATCTTCTCGATGTTACGGCGTGCGTGCTCCCGCGAACGCTTCCGGATTATAGACGCAGGTAGACGGACAGCCTCGATCCTGGGGAAGGCAACGAGCAACACGACCGCCCATTGTGCCGCGCGTCGATGATCCCGCGCTCGCGCGTCTCAAATCGTAAATCGGCGAAGGATCCTGTACCTGCGATCGTTCTTCCCGACACGTTTTCGAAGCCGCACACTCAGCCTCACCCTAAGAGATACATTATCTCGCGGTTTTTTTTTCAATGTCCTTAATCCTCGATTATTTTTTAGATGTTGAAGGCTATATAAGATTTTGTGAGCGAAACGGCAATATGAATGAACAAAAATAGAATTTCTAGATATTTTCTTTAGCAGCATTTATGTTGCGCGAAATGTAGAGAATATAAAATATTGACGCAATAAAGGTTTTTTTATAGAAATAATTTGATATTAATATTGAAGTATAAACTCACTTAATATTCTTGAAATTAATTGATAAAAATTCTTTCGTTAATTAGAATTGTTATTTAACATCGTCTTCTGGTCAAATGTAGATTATCACGAAGTGAAAAAGTTGAACATTACGTTTATGCAATGCACATGAAAAAAAATTAAAGTTCAGCGAAACGTGAACGCGAGTTCCCCGCATCTCCGGTGTCCCGAGAGACATCGGTTCGTCGGAGATCAACGTCCTTCCCATGGCACTCGTCGTCGTCAATCGACGTTACGCTGCAAAACAATACGCGCGCCGAAAACGAGTCGCTGATGCCGGTCGAGTGGTTTGTTTGCGCGATCGTTACCAAAATGAAATCCGCTTAATACGATCGAGCGACGGTTCGACGATCCTCTCTCTGTTTCGAAAGGGCTTTCGTGGCGGCGGTGGAAGGGTCGAAGAAGGCAGTGCACGAGAGGGCACGCACGTTGGGGTGGCAAAGGGGAGAGAATCGAGCAGAGGCGACTTCGGGGAGAGGCACGCGCTCTCACGACACGCGCCCACTCTCCCCCTTTCGCCACTCGAAATCGCCCCGGGGACATTAATCCCGTTTAATCAAACACCGGCCGCATCCGTAATCGGCGTCATTGTATTTGCCGTTCGTTGCGCGGGGGCGCAGTGTTTGCGTGCGCATTGTTAAAAAAAAAAAGCGCGACTTCTTTCGAAGACGCGAATTCACTGGCGAGTTAGGTTAGGTTTCTCTCGTGAGATTTCACGTGATGCGTTGGCAGCTGTATTCGCGCTGAAATAAATATGCACGTTTACATCGGCTGTGACACTGATAAGGAACATTCGCCAAACCGTTACGTTGATTTTTCTTATTGAAAGTTTTATTGCAACTTCTGTGTGTTATAAAGATGCGTTATGAATATAAAAATTATCCATTAAAACAGCCTGGAAACTTAGTTCGTGGAGAATCCTTTATTTTCAATTATTTATAAGGACCGCTTAATGTTTCAGTATTTTTGTTAATGATTAATTGAGACATTAGTATATCCAATTGATGAAAGAATTTCTGGAAAACAGAAAATCACGAAGCCTAGACATTTTCTACAGCGATAATGTGTGACTATTTGCATTCCACAAGTTACGATCATAATTGCACATTCTTTGTAAAATTACATATTACTTTTTCTACTGGCGCATATAATTTAATTAACAATTAATAATTGTTTAATTAATTGTAATTCAATAATTATATAGCTCTTATGACATTTAATTAAATGCTACTTCCTAATTCATTCATCTCTTATCTCAAGATTAATATCGTCGCTACAACTGAAGCAAACTTAAAAGGCGAGTTAAAAAATTCACAGACATTTCTGGAATATTGCAAATAATTCTTAATTAAAAATTCATTCGTGAATTCGTTTAGAACGTTCACCAGGCTCGTCATCCTTATTCTCATCTTTCGCAGCCTCTGCCGAATCATTCTCAGCTTTGCGTTCGCCATTTCGTCGATCCGCGGGATCGTTTTGCATATTGATCATCAAACTTTGTCTGCACAATGTCGAGATCGTGCTCATGTTATTGCCGTCGGTGTTCCGGGCGCGAATCAGCCGCGAGATTTTCAGCTTGCCGACGATCTTCGCCAGCGGCCCGGAAGAGTCGCGGCGCTTCGCGATCGTCCTCGGCAAGGACTCGCAGCCGCGATCAGCCGTCACCAGCTGATCGAACATGTCGGGATCGATATTGATCATTCCGGCGCTCGCCGATTTCACCAGCGATTCCGGTCGCGTAGCAACGTCCATCGCAGCCTCTTGGCGTGCATCGACTTTGTCTTCGCTCGAAGACGCAGTTTCGTCCTGCGTGGTGATCGCGTTTGTCCGATTTTCTGTTTCTTCAGATTTCGAGGCGGTCACTGTGACTTCTTGCGATTTTATTGCTTCGGTTTCAGTTGTTGACGTTCGTCTCGAAGGATTTTCATGATCGACGGCGTCCGCCGGTTCCATTGTTGAGCGACAAAAAGGACCGCCCCGACGCGAGAGGAAGTTCTCCTTGGCACGTCGTATTCTGGAAGAACGCGACTCCAAACTGTTCGTTATGGATGATTCTATCACTCGTCCTTCCTTTTTCGCCGCAGCGTCCGAAAGTATCCTGAGCTTGTGCATCAAATCCGACGGTACCGCGTCGCATTTCGCGTGATTTTCATCCTGCTGCTTCGCTTCGTCCTTGCCGAATTTGATCTCCTCTCGCTTTCCTTCGTTCTGCCTTCGGCTGCATTGTTCTTCATTCTGTTTTCCTTCAAACTGCACTTGGTTACGCCTGATTCTACCACGCTCTTCATTATCCTGCGTTTGATTATATTTAATTTCGTCCTTTACTCCGGATATACTTTGATCCTGCTCGATCGACATTGCTCTTAATCGGTCGGAAACTCGCGTGAAAATCGTTCCCTTTGAACACGCATTTGTGTTCGAATGATGATTTTTTCTCTCATTTGCATTAATGGATAATGGTTCTTCCTTAATTAATTGATTTTCGCGTTTTTTATTGTCGACATTATTTTCTTCACAAAGCGAGTTTTTCTCCTGCGCCATATCGTCCGTCTTGCTTCCTGAATTTCTTCTGGATTCAACTTTGGAAGGAATCTCACTTTCCTTCGAGGCAGAGCGCAGAGGCCACGGCAGGGACAACGATACGCGCAACAGGGCGTCCTGCCGACTCAATTTTGGCGACGCCGATCTCGATTTGCTCTTGGACTTCGAACGCAAAAGTCGACTGTCGACGGAACCATCGCTCTCTTTTCTTGACAATGATCGGTCTTCCGACCGGCGAAACGGGCCGAATATCATGCGCTTCGTTTTCACGAAGACATTTTTGGAAAAGCCTGGATTGTCGCGAATCGTCTTCGCGGATGCGTGATTGCAGACGCGCTGCCGATCGTCGATGGCTTCATCCGGACGATATGCGTTTGTGGAACGATCTCGAATTTTCTCCGCACTTCTCATTCCGCTATCCGTGCTCGCCGTGGGAACGATTATTTTGTTCAACGTCTCTTCGTTGATCAGGATCCTCTCCAAGCGGCGCGCTTCGTTGTCCCTTGAGACAGTTATCGGGATGGTTCGAATGATAGAATTAGTTAAAAGGCTTCTAGAAGTTTCTAAGTAATTTGACTTTTCCATTCCCGGCAATCTTGATGATAAAAGATTTCCTTTAGCGCAATTATTTCTGCTGTCGTAGGAAAAACTGCGAATTTCGGGGCAATTAATCGGTTCGTATAAACGATTATCAGTCGCATCGCCGCACGTGTCCGTTTTGAACGTGAGAATTTCGTAATGTCGATCGACATCGGCCTGTAACTCGGGTGAACTGCAATTCTCGTAATGTGCTGAAGTCTCGTCTTCGATGTCAACGCCGCAATATTCCGGTATATCTTTATTATCGTCTATGAAAAAAGAATTATATAAGATTTGGGCAAGAAAAAATATAAAACAGTGTGGGTATTATGAAAAAATAAAAGTAGAAGTTAAAACTGAAAAACTTGAAAACAAGAAACCTTTAAAAATATTAAGAATAAGAATTCTTCTACTTTTAACTTCTTAATAAATTTACCTTTGACAAATTAAGATGTCTATATTTAAAATAGATTAATCGAGAAAAATTGTATTATACAATAACATAAAATATAATTTATAAATCTTGATGTACCAAAAAAAATCTTGTTCCTTTTATACGAATTTACCTAAGTTTAAATTCGATAACTTCGGAGAAGCTTCCTTGGAATCGCGGCAGTCTGACGATGACGGCGTTCTTGTTAACTGATAAGTATCGAGAATTATTCTTCTCCTTTCGGTCTTCTCGCCATCTTGGAGATCCTCCACGTCGCTTGTCTGCTCATTACTTGGTTCATCCGCTAAAGTCTCGAGCTTCCTCGTCTCGTTCATCCGCCTACTCGTACGCGGAGAGTCCTGGTTGTACCGACAGGACGCTAATTTCAATTGCGCTATGATAAAACTTACTTTTCCAAAAATTTTGAGCCTCAACAGTGACTCGAGTGTCTTACAAATCTTGACGATTAATAAGAAGTGTTTTCCGCAAACAGCAATGCTTTTTTTTATTATACGTTCATGCTTTGAAGAATATTAAAACTAGATAAATAGCAGCGTGCAAAATTAATATGTTAAAATAAAATCAAATTATTTCTAAATGTACCATCAATTCTTCTGCATTTAAAGTCCTCAACGAGGTTTCAAAATTTTCGGCAGAGTTCGCAGATTCGGCCTCGTCACTTTCTGAAATAAAATATCGCTAAATAGTGTAACTTTTATTTTCTTTAATAATAGCTTTAGAAAATCTTAGGGAATAAAAGAAGTAACGTCGATAGTGCTGAATTTTCTTACCAAAAAAATCATGTTTCTTCGTGTCACTCTTACTCTCATAAATCGGCGTAAGAGGCAATTCGAGTCCCGTCGAGTCTCTAAAAACATACCAACAATTTGAAAACCGAGTTTTATCTGATCATAATAACTTTTTCGAGAAATCATTTCTTACCTATTTGCTTCATCGCCCGATTCGTCCCAAGCATCTCGATTCCATCCGATCGACTGATCGGATTTTACAGAGTCGCCGGAGTCCGGGATCGAGTTGCGCGTTTTCTCGGTCCACCCTGTAGAGCCGTCGTCCTCTTTGTTGCTCTCCTTGCGCCATGATTCCCAATTCGATTTATCCTCGTCCAAGGATGTCACTGTTTCGTGCCAGTCCTCGGACACCGGTGAGCGTTCCGGACTCGGACTGTTCTCGCTCGAGCGAGCTTCCGGGCCGATCTGCCACGTTCTGCCGTTCCAACGTTCGCAGCTCTCATTCTCCTCGGCCTCGACCAGGAACACCGGCGACGGCTCGTGGCTGGATGTGACCGTACCGAGAGGAACGGCGATGCTGGTGGTTTCGCTGGCCGCGACGGAATACACCGGCGTCTGATGGGGTTGCACCCCCGTCAACGGGCTGGCAGTTTCCTCGATAACGTCCTCGATGTCGACGATCATCGCCTCCGGCTCGGAGTCCTCCACCGCTATATCCTCCGCGTGATCCTTCATCCCTTGCGAGTTGTTACCTGCAAGTGAAATTTTTGTCAGAATTATTACTCGCGAGATTATTTTAAATGCGTAGAAAAGTAATGAGAAATATACTGTGATTTTGCTGAAATTAAGATTGCGACTAGTTAACGTTTGCAGAATTGTTAAGCGTGTTGAAATGTTAAAGATGTTTGAAAAGGATCGTTTCTTACTAGAAACTGGTAAAGTTTCCAATCGATTGTCATCTTCGAGCTTGTCCGCGGAACTCAAAGATTGCAGACTCGTGGAGCGACGTAGCGTGAATGATTCGTCACGAAGGCTGCCCTCGAACACGCTACCGTCGGACTTGGATCTCTTCAGGGTCAAGTGGAACGCTCGATTCTTTCCTGTAATTAGTATGTGTAATTAATGTTGTGTATAACGCAAATAATTTATTGAAAATTGTTTAATCCTACCTGGCGTACTTGACGGCTCTGCTAACATCGCTTCGTCCGAATCTTCGGTGAACGGTGTGTAACCTGGTCCTAAAAGACGGAACGTGGAGGATCTCGGTGATATTCCGCGATATTTCTCCCAGTCGTATAATTTTCTCGTGAATTCTCGAGATATGCCCTCGAAACGATAAGAGCCAACAGATGTGCGAATCAACACTTCGTTGCCGCAGTTTACGCCACGCGATGCATTCATGAATCTTGAATCAATTAAAAATAGTTTGTAGCATGCACAGTCAACTTCCGTTATTTTTTATGTAACAAAAATAGAAATTATGAAAAATTTAAGAATCACATTTTTCAAAAAATTGAATTTTTGAAACAAAGGTCCTTTGATCCACTAATTTATCTTTTAGATAAATACAAATCAATTTATAGAAATAGAAATAAAAATCTCTGTGTTGTCTGAATTTTTATACCTCGAGTCGCCATCGAAACAATCGTTTAATTGTTTGGCGTCGCTCTCTCGACGTTCCTTCTCGGGTTTCTGTTCAAACAGCAACAGCACCTTTTCCAAAGCGACGAACTCCGTTTCGTCGATATCAGACGCGGTACGACTCACCGGTGATTTTGGTCTCTCGTTATTTTGACACGCGGCCTCGCTCATTCTCCTCCACGCCTCCATCCTCTTGATGAAATCCTCGCAGAGATGCTGTTTTCCATCGCTGCCGAAACTACCCGCGCTGCCGATACTCGCACAGCTTCCACGCGAGCCGACTGAGTTGTGATTTTTCTATTACGTAAAAATGTTGAAGAGACGTTCAAAAATATTGCAAATTAAAATTGAATAATAGTGCATCACTCTTTTAATTTGTGTTTCTGTACTTTTTTTCCAAGTACTGTTCATAAAAATTTTTCTATCTTTTAATTATCACAAGTAGAGCACACATATTTTCGTAATTAAGATAAAAAGGTGAATATTTCCGAATTAAAATAAAAAATAAGTAGATTGTTTGATAAATTCAAAAATAAAATTTTTTGACATTTTCTTCCGTTAAATCCCGAAATATTCGTAATTTGACGCGACTGCTCGCAAGATCGACGTACGCCGTGAAATTTGGTCTCGGGCTTCGACGAAGAGGTGCGCCAGAGTTGCCAGTCAGTCAATCGTCGGCGACTGACGCGCTGCTGCTCGACAGCCACGCTGGACCGTCGGCCCTTCTTCGCCCGCTTCCACTCCTGCAGCTTCTTCCTGAACTCGGGTGCCAACCGCTCTTCGCTCCAGGGCAAACTGCTACGCGCGTTTCTCGCGCTCTTCAAGCGCTCCCATTCAACCAGCTTCCGGTGGAACTCGGCGCCGAACTTCTCCCGCAGCGCCTGATAGTCCTTGCTCGCTTCCGCCTGGTTGTTGCTGGTACCTGCAACGGTTTTACCGAGATCCTCGACGCTTTCGCTACAGCTGCGAGCTCGGCGCGTATCTGCATTTACAACGAAGACATTTTATGCGATGAGAAGCGCAGAATGAAAGTGCGTGCAAAGAAGGTGAAGGATTAAAATTAGACAGGAAAGTTTGTGGTAGCTCGTTGACACAGACATTGATTAATTGCGCGTTAAGCATACTTATGGAAATATTAATACCTTCGAGGAATCGGAGAAAGTTTATTGTCCTTTTATTATATCTATAATATTTGATAATTGTATTTACTGCACTTCAATACTTTTTTTTCAATTATACCAATATTTCTTTTGTTTTTCAAATATGTGTGTTCAGTATCTTTATTTCGTCCTGACAAGCAACATGTGACACGTGCAAATGGCATGTTGCTACAAAATTTTAAAGTAGGTTGCCAAATTCTGGATAATGTTGCGAGAAATTTTTCATTCTCCGCTTTTCGCTTCAGTAAGAATGTATCACAAAGTCGCAAGCTCATCGAATGGTCGGAAAATAAAATTTATCTAACCCTCAAACAATACAAAGAAAAGCAATGTCCTAAACCGCCGTTTCAACAACTTTGTAAAAAGTTATTCGAGTCTTCCAAGCCTGAGCCCAAAGTAAATTAATTAAATTTATTTTTAATTAAATGTTCTTAAAACTTTCCAATGAAAAATGTAATTGGTAATTATTACTATAAAAGTTAGAAATTTGAATAAATATTTTATAGAAATTATTTTTGAAGAAAATATTGCATAAAAATAAAATCTTATGCTTCTGAAACTCTTCTCGTGATATGATTGACTCAAATTATTTGTCGATTATTTCATAAAATAATAAATTTTAGTGCAAAAGAACCACTACTGCCAGTGATGATTATTTGAAAGTACGACAATCCTTGGAGCTACGCGTTAAGAACATAGAGAAATTCGTGGAGGATGAATCGCGATTGATCACAAGCGAGGTGAACAGCTGGCTGGAGAACAATAAAGTTGCTTGTGCGGCGCAATTAAAAGAATTATTCAATAAAACGACGGAAAAGCTAGACGAACTAATCAAGCTGGACATGTCGTATAGCACTTGGATGCGAAAAGAAACATTGTTACTCAACGATGAAATACGGCGATCTTTCGACGCCTTGGATCGAGCGATCGCTTCGAATGCGAAACGCATAGAATCTATGTTGCAGAATCTACGAAATGATGTGACGACGCACAGTGCATGCGTGAAGAAAGGTCTGATTGTGTGTCGTAAACACGACGCGCCCTGCGAATTTGCAGAATGCGTGAAAGCACAGTCGGAGGAAGCGATAAAAATGCTCGATCGCGTGAACGAGAATGCGCGCGTCAAGCTGGAAGAGATCGCGAAATTTCGCGAGTCGGTTGTGAAAACGCACGAGATGACGGCGCAGGAAACGATAGAAGTAAACCATAAGAAAGCGACCGAGTTGTCGAACTATTTGGACAAATGTATCGCCCAGCTGAAAAGATCGAGCGAGTAACGAACACACCACGATAGCGAAAATGAAACGTAAGCAATTTTTCTCAATAGAATGAAAAGCAAGCAAGCTTTAGAAGAGCGAATGTAATCATTGGAATTGGTAAATGGCAAGCGCTTTAAAAATTCAAGTGATTCAAAAGCAGATCTCAATGTTTCGTGAGTTTACTCGAACTTTGAAAATAAATGCGGGAGGAAACTGTTTATTTCCGCGTGCCTTTGTAATTGGATATGTGTACGTAGCACTTCTTTTGAATAAAGATTTACGGTGAAAAAGAGAAAAAGAGATAGTGTAAAGATCAGTGATTTACAATTGGACTCTATGTCTATAAAAAACCAAAGAATTTTGATGAAAAATTAAATTATAATAAAATATGTATATTACTAATAAAAATCGGAGCACATTCCGATAATATAAATTCTGGATCCGTAAAGGAAGCTTTACATAATATTAGTAACATTTAAGACACAGAGTTTTATAAATAAATGATTCTTGTACTGCGACATCGTTATCATTTCTTTGTCTTCTCATGCAAAGTTTCACTGTGAGGCTTTGAGATGCGATTATTAATATTTTGTGTTAAAATTCACAATGCTTTATGAGAGAAATGGATGTTATGAGAGAAATGGATGATATGTTTCTGCGATTGATATAAGGTTTTTCGCATTGGCGTTAGAATAACATAAAAAGTGCACAATTTATAAGAAGCGATGTGTTCCGGGAAGCTTCACATTAAGCTCTCACCATCGTTTGGGAATAGTTGCGGCGCGACCATTCTAACCGGGCTTGGAGGAACGCTGAACGTGGCGTTTGTCAGAAAAGCACGTCTGACCTTGTTCCATTTCGAATCTTGCATCTTTGGAGCTGGCGTTACCGCTTCCTCGATCGTCGAATACTGGAATCAAACGTCTCGCATGTCTGTGCATCTCGGCGTAGCTCGTAAGCTCGCGCGCGTTGGCAAGAGAAAGCATCCACGTAAAATTTAGAATATTTTGTTCTATTTCCATCGCATTTCTTCGCAGATAAAATACGGTAATCCACGTTTCGAGATAGCAAAATTTTATGTTAACATTTAACAAACATTATACGAGCTAGCTTTCCCCCAGCGTGATGATCGAATTTAAATTCAAGGATAAAATTTGAAAGTTTATAGTTATTCAATAGATCAAAGCAGCAGAATTTTGCCAAGGTATTTGTCTAACCTGTCGCTTGAATTCCCTCGGGCTCGAAATACCCTGGCGCGGTTTGGGTTGCTGCGGTGAGCTTCCGCCGGAATCTTGCGTGCTCGAGAGAAGCGGAGACATCGATTCGGGAGAGGACAAGTTCCTGATTTCCTCCTCGTTCGACGGTATTGTGATCGTGAGAATCGGCGTCGGTTTCTTCGGTGATACTTCCGAATTTTTCCCGTCTGTGCTTGCAATTGCTGCATCCGCGTCCGATATGATACGAATCAGCGGTTTATCGCGACTTGGCTGCCATTCAAAGTAAACAAACGTATCGGAAGTAATAGACATTAAAATTCACAGCGGGTCTTTTCTCAATTAAAAAATATTTATAAATATTAAAATTATTAATAACAGAAATATTATTGTTAATAGATATAATACACGCCAAACAAATAAATCAAAGTCGTAGAAATAAGCAAAAATAAAAAAGGAGAAACAAAGTATATCTTAACGCATCAAATATAGGACACGCGTTTTTCAACCGCGCAACAGACAATGACTCGTTCATGTATCAAGATATTTATTCGCAACGGGAAATGTCAGTTACGCGGATATGTGAGCGCAATTTCAGGTGACAAGCAGTCAAGGGACTGTCACCAAAAAGATTCGACTCGTAGTCAGAATGACGCGGTGCGTCCGTTAATGGATACGCTCGCGATGCGTTGATCAAAGAAATTCAACGGGCGCGGTCGTGCGTAGCACCGTGGATATTTTTAAGTCGACACTCGTACACCGCCACTTGTGTAGCGGAAAAGGAATTTTGCGGAGCGCTTTTGTCGACGCGGCTCTTGTAACGCGAATCCGCCGTCTGGCTTCCCGTCGAGGTCGATCGAAAATTACAAGGCGGAAAAATGTTGGCGGGGATGGATTGAAAATGTAGAATAAATTTTGCACTATAGAGTGAATCGGGGATGTTTCATCTAAGAATAATAAAAAGTAGAGCTTTAGAAAGCATAATATGATCAGCGATAAGGTGTAAAAATATACTGTTTATCAAAAAAATCGATAAAATAATGTTAAGTGCGTTTGGCTTTATTTGTAACATTAAGTCATAGAATTTCTCAAGTAAATGATCTTTGTATTGTGATATCGTTTCTTTATCTCCTCATCAATATAGTATATGCAACGTATATTATAAATCACTGATTAATTCGTTTTAATTAAATCTGGTTCTCTAACTTATTTTAATCAGAATAATCTTGTGATCGAATTAGCTCCGATTTACTACATTTGTACAGATTTATACAACATTATAGAATATTCAGAACAATTATATGTGTTTCCTTTATATTAATATAAAAGAGACCTCACCTCACTGGGTAATTCAGCAGGATCCGGAATCTCCGCGATGACAGTGTCGAGCAATCGACCGTGCCGATCCGGTTCTTCCTTTCTTCTGTCGTCTTTCACTAATGCCAATTGTCGATCCGCATAATTTACATTAGTAGCATTTTTGCGCGAATCTAGAAGAAGACATTGCGCTAATAAGTTTCTCATAATTTTTTTTCGCACAAAAACGAGAAGATATCCTCACCATCGAACACTTCCTCGTTGGACGACGACGCGGACGAAGCCCTGCCGATCGGCGTGGACGGACTAGAGAGCTCGCTGGTGCACGGCGACAGCGCCGATCCGGTGCTCCAGCTTCCGGTGGTAACCGCGTCCGGGATTCTCAGAAATCTCGTGGTCGGCGTCACCGCCTCCACGATGTCCGCGAGATCGCTCGTGCACGCGCGCTCCCATTTGAAGGCTGCCTTCACTCGGGTCCACTTGCTGACCTTCGGGCCGCCGTTGCGATTCGCATTCCTCGCCGTCCGCTTATCCGCCTCGCCCGCACCCTCAATCAGGTTCAGTCCGAGATTCTGCTCGGTCGATGCGATCGATCGGCTCCGCTGCCTCGAGGGCGATCGCATGCTCGCGCGTTCGTTCCTCCTCGCCGCCGACATAGCGGTGTCGCGGCAGCTCGACAGCATGGCGTCCAGCAGCGATTCCGCGAAACCGGTGTCCTCGTCGAGGAAGTCGTCGGGCAGCTCCTCGCCGTTCGCCACGGCGGCCTCCAGGCGGCGATCGGCGTTCCTCTGCGCCTTGGCGCGCTCCAGATTTCGGACGCGCCGAAAGAGCTTGCAGCTGCGATCGCGCAGCTCCAGGATCTCCTCCGTCAGCGCGTACAGCCGGTCCAGATGCTCGAACACATCGTCGGGCGCGGCGTCGACCCCCATCGCCGAGGCCGTCGAGTTCGGCGTGACGTCGTAATCGAACGAGTGGCCGTCGAAGGGCGACGCGCCCTCGCCCTCGTTGAGGTAAACTGCGAGGTCCTCCTCTTCCTCTTCAACACCGCGAGACATCATCCCCGAACGATCTCGCGTTGCGCCCGACGAGCACTGCGGGTCCGGAGACGGGGTCGGAAGTCGACCCTCCTCGGGCCTGTCCTTGACCCTGAGGGTGCCTCTTTGATCTCCTCGCGGGCGACTCGAGCCGTCCGACCTGTCGAGCTTCCTCTCGATCTCGGGCACGCCGGACTCCTCGGCCTGCCGAGCATTATCCTCCGCCATTCGTTGGCGGTTGGTGAACAGAAAGATGCGGGATTTAGGTATCTGAAGAAACGCAGCGAGCGATATTTAATGGATGACAATTATGGGAAGTTAGTGATGCAGTCATCTTTCACGTTGACATTGAAACGACGTCGTTATGCCGTCATGCGGTTTCAGCATCCGTAAAATTTGAGTGATTTGGATTCGTACCAGAATTTCTGCGATTTCGATATCTTTATTTCTTAAGCGTTCCTTCTTTGTATTTTGTGTTCTTTTATGCTTTGTTGCTCGAGCAAAGTAACAGATAATTGTATACCAAGTTTTTATAATTACTTCCTGATTTCGTTGAGCCGCATCGTGTGCTCTTCTTCTTCGAAGAAATCTTATCATATATTGTTTTTACGCCACTAATAGATCTCGTTTGTTATAGTTCGCTCTAAGTATATCTATGTTTCATAATAAGTGTTCTTTGTCGGATTTGCTTTTCTACGCCTTGGTAAGTGCAAATGTAATCGGCAAATTGATGGCACAAGAGAGAGAAGTGTTGATTCGTCTTATAAACATTCGATCCTATAAATATTATGGGAAGCAAACGCGCGGTAATGCATACGAATGCACCAGCGGGTTCCTTCGACGCACTTTTGCTCCTTACTAGAAGAGCGAAGAAGCACAAAGAAATGTTAATTTCAAAATATTTTTTCTTCGTTCCTTTGATGGAAATCTACCGTTCATTGCACTTTGTATCCTTTTTACTCCTTTTATAATCGCTTCGTCAATTTCTGCAGCAGTCATTTCTATTTGATCAAATGTGGACGCTTCGACGTGTTCACTCAATTACATAATATTTTCTACAATTAATATTCGATCGCCTGTTTACGTGTCCACTTATGTAAATGGAAACTTTCTTTACGGAGCACGACTCCTTTGTTACAATCCACGCAAATTGCTTTATTCAGACACGAAGAAGAGAACGACGTACACTCCAGTCGTCCTCATTTTTAATTTACACTGAAATAGCACTTTGCTAAGTTACAGAACGCTTCTTTCGACTGTTGATGCAAGCTGGAAATCTTTACTCTATTTTCCACCACGTCCACCCACGTACATTAGCGTTACTATGGCACTAAGAGACTCTCGGGCAAGCGTTTCGGTTAATTAGTTACGATGAAATTCGCGAGAACGAAATTTGTTTTATACCTGAGCAGTCGGTTTGAGATCAAAATGAAATTTTTATCCCCGGCAGTCCCGATCGATTTGTCCGGAACGACGAGAATCCGCTCGTTCGACTCCGCGCGAGATCGCGGAAAGCGAGAAGCTCGTCGGACGCCGTGCGTTTTGAGACTTCGGCGATAGCACGCGATTATTTTCGGTGACGAGCTTTCGTCGTTCGTATTTACGACGGATGCGAGCGGCGTGTGTATGTGTGCGCGCTAGATTGCAAAGGCGTCGCGACGCCGAGACGGGAGTCTCGAGAAGCGGGCATGTGCGACTGTTCGCTACACGCGCGAGCGAGCGAGCGAGTGTTCTTCCTGTTCCCGTCGAAAATAGACGGGAAGGCGGCGGGAAGACGCGTCCGTTCGGCCCTTATTTATAAGCGCCGCGGAATGACGTTACCGATCATAAAGCACTGCCGCCGCGCTACTTTCGCCGTGCAATATTTTCCGATGCAGAATTTCGCGGAGAGCCTTCGAACCACGCGAAGAATTCGGCTCGTACATTGTGGTCGTAGCGCATATTGTTAGAATAGAAGAATTCGGCATCTGATGGCAGACTATTAAAGAGAAGTTAAAGATAAGTGACCTACCTTCCTGCTTCCAGTATGATATAAAAATGTAGATACTAAAAAAATAAAATGCGGAAAGAAGATTAAAAATTTGTGTTGAACTATTTTTTCCGACCAAAACTCTCGTTAAAGTAAATCCCACGATATTTATTTCATTCTTGAATCTAACTTTGTAATTAGAAATCTCAAATTTTACAATAAAAGATTTTAAAAATCTGGAAAAAAATTGTCGAATTAGATAAATTTAGTATAAGAATTAAACAAAATAAATTGTAAAAGATTAATTGGCACTTTTTACAATAATAGAAGGAAAATAAAATTTTATTCAAGAAATATACAGTCACATTTCCACGCAAACAAGTAAATCATCGTAGATACATAACTGGAAGTGTGAATTATTCCTTCATCGGTGACTTGGTTAAATCGGCTACTGGTAGCATTACGATGGCCGCACCTGCAAGACGTTCAATAATTAATAACAATTAATCAAGTGAATAACATTTGCTTTATCGTACCTATTAGGATAATAGACACTACAATGATGCTCGATAAACAAGTTGTCTTCAGGAAGAGCTGCATCGCAAAGACCGTTAAATGGGGAAGTATTTTCGTCAGGCCTATCATCGTGCCTCTGGAAACCGGTACCAGAAATTACAAGTTTTCACATATGTATACATTGCGTTCACAAATATTTGATTCTTGAAAATGCGTCTGATGATCTAAAATTAGCCGAACATGTTGACCATACCGTTTCACATGACCTACCTCAGAGCGGTGGGATAATTTTCCAGCAGCAAAACGCACGTCGTCGTAACGCCGATAGCGTAAGCGGCTAGAAAAATCGATGCTAAGACCAGGCGAATTGTATGGTGCATCCGAACAATTAGCACGATCGAGGCTGCGCCGCCCACTAATGCCGAAAAAACTGACAGCAATCAAAAAGATTTCTGTTACCAATATGAAGTTGTATTTACATTCTTGTTTTAAAAAGAATGTAAATTAATATTTCTTTAAAAAAAAGTGTCTTAATTAAAAGTTGCGCAGTTTAACTTTCATATATATTATTGCTGTACAATGTATCAAAATTTTATTTTAAAAACAAGCATAAAATAGTGTTGCGCAAATCAAAATGAATGTATTTATTACAATTTAAATAATTGTTATCATTATTATAAGAAATATTTAGATATTTACTTAAATACGGCTTTCTGCCGACGACGTCGATTCCAACAATAAGCAGTATTTCTCCTAGCACGTAGCCCAATGATACCAGCAGGAGCAGCTCGAAACGAGCCTCGTTTATCTCGTCGCAGCTCTGCAGAAAACCTAATGCCACGTTCTGGATATTGACGCTGCACGTACCGTTTCCGCTTCCGATGTGATCATTTTCCAATTCCTGGAGTACGTGCGTCTTCCACAGAGCGAGCCCGGCGAATCTTAAACATCGTCCTCGTGATTCTCCTCGCAATTGCGCGGTCGGAGAGATACGGATGCAAGAGAGCTTACGGTAGAACTTCCTTTATTACCCGGGAAAATGTAGCAGGCACGCTAATATTCCACACAATGTTGTCCGCTTGTAAGGAGGCCTGTGCATTTTGTTGATTCGTTCCCAAGTTTTCGTAAAGTACTTTTCAAAACTCGATTCTCTTTCGTCATTGTCTGGTTGCACGCAATCATCTAAGTCTCTTAAGTTCTTCAGCTAAATTGCATGAAACGGTTTTAAGGGAATCAGCGCTAAATAAAATAATTATACACATCAATATACAAAAAATTAAAATACATAGATATAAATTTAAAAAATTTAAATTTTTGCTTCAAACAATTAATAAGATAATTATCAAAATATTCATTCTTTATTTAGTTACAAATACGTGAACTCCTTCTGACGGTGAGATTATTTTTTATTGATCTGTAAATAATTAGTGCTACGGATGTTTCAGGATGCACAGATAGATGAAGATTGAATGGACAGAGAAATGAAAAAAGAAACTGGACGGAGTGCGTTGGATTGCCGTACCGGATAGGTATCGGCGTGTTTCGAATTATTGATGGCATACATCTGTCGGAGCACCGCGAGTGCCTGTCCCGGCCTCCGACGGTATATCGAGTGCCGAGGACTCGGCGGCAGGAGACCTGACATGCAGGCGATCACCAGGCTTGGCATACCGTAGAGAGCGGCGAGGACTCGCCAGGAACTCGGTCGGAATTTCTTGCCCAACATGCGTATGACAGACGGCATCAAAGCCCAGGAGACGCCTTGTCAAATCACATCCAGCAAATGTTAGTTTTTTTTTGTGAAGATTTTTTCACAACAAATCTCTTTTAGACACATCTTATTTTAACGTGTTACTCTAATATTCTTTTTAATGGAGAATTGTACTAAAATATTATATAGCATTTATATATATTAAAAATTAAAATAAGTTTTATGAATAATGAATTATTTTAAAATAGATTTTATGAATAATTTTATGAATTAACTAGATTTTATTACAGTTATTGGATAATTTTGATTGAATAGAATTAATTATAAATTAATTATTTTATTAATATATAACACGATATTATTTCTAAATTATTATTATATGCTTTTAATAAATAAAATTGCAAATTGAAATGAGAGCAACTTGTAAATATAATTAGCAAAAAGAATCTTGCAGATTTTATTTTAATATTAAAAAATTAAAAATATACTTAATAAAGAAATAAATTGCATTATCATCAAAGAACATGGATTTAATTTAATTACGATCCAAGGATTTTCTTGTAGATCATTTTTTTACCTAAAGCCAATGCGTAACCGATCATCCAGAACATATCAATTATCGCTAAGCAAGTTCCTCTCTTTCTCATCGGTAGGCATTCGATGAGGTATACTCTCAGAACAGTATTGTTACCGGCTACTCTACGAATAGCCAGATAACGTAATTACTTCTCATTAATTAAATACGCAATTTTTAATGTTATGCAATAATGAAGGCACGATATGCAAATCATGATGCTTTCGCAGAATTTTTATTGCTGCAAATAATATGACAATTGCAAGCAAAAAATATTAATGCTAAATGAAAAAATTTGATAAATAAATGCTATAAAATATAGTGAAAAAAATAAACTATGAGAAACTTTTTTCAAACATATGTGAATACGCTGCAGTTATTTTTATCATAGTAAAGTATCGATTGTTTTCGTTGTGTGTTATGAAAAGATAGAAACTTACCCCAGCCCCAACACAAACACTGATAAGTTTATCAGAAAATTAGTTTGCGCGAAGGATAGGCTGGCAGAGGCGCAAAACACAATGCCCATAGTAACCGGGATCAAATTTTTACGCCCAACAGTGTCCGATATAGATCCAAACACGAAGGCTCCTATCGCCATGCCTAATTTTTTTTATGGATTGAATAAAGATAATCAAGTTAACAGACGTGAAACTTATGTTCAATGAAAATACTTCAATAAAATTTAAGACTAAAATAGAACTAAATCAATATATACCAAGACTGGAAATGGCAATAGGCATGATGGCTTGGTCTTTGCTGAGTTTCAAATCGCATGCTATTATCGGTGCCACGATGGGAACAGTCAGAGAAGTGCTCGCTTCCGCAAGCGATATCAAGCCGCAGAGAATGATTAAGAAGTAATGCCAAAGACCCCATCCTGCACATTGAGCGTTGCCATATGTTAATTAAAAATATATGTTTACTTTACGTATTCTTCTGATAAATTAAATTAAAATTTCTTATCCGGAATTAACATAATTACGATATAATATCAACAGAACATGACGTGTCTTATCGTTAATAAGATAATAATGTTTGGAAATGCCAACTGTGACACACAGAGTATAATTCTGTTGAATTTTTGCCCTACCTGTTCCTGCTATTGCAGCTTCGTAGTTATCAGTCATATTACATGGAACGATTTTATCACAGATAATTCGCAAAAAGTAGGTTAATGAATCAAACGTTGAAAACTTAACAAGTACAAAATGAAGTTTGCTCTACAATTCGCTCGATCGAGAAACGCTCACCAAACTATCTACGAAATTATCGTAAAAAGTAATCACAACTGATAATTGCAACTGTTAAAACATATTGAATTAAAAGTGAATTAAAATTTTTGGTGATACAAACTTGAACTTTGTACAGATTCAATGACGATATCGTTGACGCATCGAGATTTCCTTTTCCGCTAAGCTCAGGTGTTTCCTAATCGATAATCGACATCAAGCTGATCTCTATCTCTACGTGCATCAATATAAGTTAATCGTATGCGGCAAGGAATGGCACAAAAATGGAAGCATGTAGAAAATAAACTTGTTTTATATTAAACTAAATATATGAACATTTTAATGGATATTCAATGTTCGTTGCGATATGTACGTCTATGTTAGACAAAGAGTACATAAGTATCAAACTGCAAATGCGGCGAAAGAATATGAAACACACACAAATAAGTGTATTCAATAGGACGTATAAAGAATGTGTTATTTGTATCTTATTGTCTATTGATCTTTGAAATATTCCTTTGAACCCTCGACATCGGGCTTCAGAGTTTTCTTGCCGGGTTTCCAGCCAGCTGGGCACACCTCACCATGTTTGTCGGTATATTGGAACGCTTGAACTAAGCGCAGAGTTTCGTCCACGGATCTGTGATAAGATTATTAATGTAATTTAATTTAGCGAAGAAATGCCACTCGTATCTAATGTTAAATGACCGTAAGTGTTATTAATACAAGGATTTCTTTCAGCATTATCATGGGTCGAAGATCACGCGATCACGCTTAGCACATTAATAAAAATGTCGAATCATAATTCTTCGAATTCTTGAAAGTCTGTATGTTGTGTGAAGTTTTATGATATAAAAAAACTTTAATTCGTAAATAAATTAATTCGTAATGATAACGGTAGTGTAACTCACCTTCCGACGGGCAGGTCGTTGATGGTGACCTGACGTAGATTTTGCTTGTTATCGATGATGAAAAGACCACGGAAAGGAATTCCTGTTTCCTCATCAAGCACGCCGTAATCACGAGAAATTTTGAAGCTCTTATCTGCCAACAAGGGGATGTTCATCTCACCAAGACCGCCCTGCTTGCGTGGCGTGTTCACCCATGCAAGATGGCTGAAGTGGGAATCGGTAGAAGCGGCGATCAGTTGGCAGTTGATGTCGCTGAATTCCTTCACTCGGTCGGAGAAAGCGATGATTTCCGTCGGACACACAAAAGTGCTGCGGCAGAATGATTATACGTTAGTTACAGCTCACGACGATTGAAGCGATCTTACAAATCACTACTTGTTTATGCGAAATCTTCAAGATGTAGTTAAAAATGTAATTTTAAAAGTCTTATTCTTTTCTTAGAAATGCAAATCTTTAGAATTTAAATAGTATTTCTTTTTTGAATTTCTTTGAGTCTTGGTATGGTATTTCTTTGCTTAAATTTCTTTACGATGCAACTCGCAACGTGATTTGGAATATATATATATATAAATCAGCTTTTACAGACGCAATATTTTAAAATGCAAAGCGTATCCTTTTGTTATCATCTCAAATGTATTCCGATTCATAGTTAGACATACGTGATAAAAATGTCGAACGCGATACAATAGAATTTCTCGCGCAACAATTGAAAATTGCGTAACCGTTTCGTTATCTCACACCTACAAAAGTAGCTTTGCAGCATACTTACAAGTCCAATGGATAGAAGAACAGAACGACATATTTGCCCTTGTAGTCTGAGAGTTTGATGTCCTTGAATTGTCCGTTCACAACGGCGGTGCCGGAGAAAGCGGGCGCCGGTTTCTGAAGCTGAGGCACTGACATGATTGCTGCTGTTTCTGTGATTTCCTATAATTAAGAACAGGCAAACGTTATATATCTCACGAACCGTACAGCAAAACTCCTAATTATAATATCTATAAGTATACAACTTATTTCAAAATCATTAATCGGGAATCACAGTCATTAAACGAAGTAATCTATGTCGTGATAAATTCACATATCTCTCATTCCGTCTGTGTATATTTTTCATGATAACATAAATTCGATATGTACGAACGTTTACTACGACGTTTGAATATTCATAACATTACGCCTCTTTGTATTTGTTTTTGTGAAGGAACTTTAAACATTAAATATGTAGCAGCTTCTACGATTTGTAAATAAAAACATATTTATACACATTAATGTTTCAAAAATATTTCAAACAAATTCTCGTCACTTTGGGCGATTTGATGTAAATATTTCGCGATATTCTTTTCGCATTCGTTAATAAACTTTCGCTATAGCGGATATACTATGTTCTGTTAATGAAGGATATGATAACGGTCAAAGGATTTGTAAGTATAATCAGCAGTGTTAATTCAGCACTTAGCGTAAGTATTTGCGCGATAAGCTTTCTACAAAGAATCACCAACAACTAAATATTTATTCAGCGATAACTTATGTAAAGGTTTCTCTGTTTGGTGCATCGACTCGTCATATATTACGAAAGTTTGCATACACGCGTCGTCGTTATCTCCAACGATGACAAACTAATAAATATTGGAATATCAAACCTGTCACAAGTGGGAATCATTCGATGGAAGAAGTATGATAACGCAGAAGTTGATAGAAATTAACGGCACATTCAAAGTTAATGAAGCGTATGAAAAATATTTACAGTTCATAAAATTCACTTAAAAATAAAAAAAGTTATATTTAAAACGAGTAAATTATAAACTCGCACATTTATTTTGATATTGAATTTCTCACTTATCAATTTATTACAAATTGGTAATGTATTTTTATTACATACAAATGCTCGATGCTCATCTTTATTAATTAATAGAGCTTTTCGATGCCGAAATTGATCAATATTGAAAATTAATTAAATCAAACTTCGAGAATATATAGATAACACATTGCATTGAAAATTAGATTCAGCTTCCCAAGAGAAGCGGGGGAATAAACGGGAGGGGGGGATCGCACGATTGAACTAGAGCAGCAGATGGGACCTCGGATTACGCAACGGTCAAGTCAGGTATAAGATTTGTATGAAATGAGATTTTATACGAAAAAATAATCTCGAGAAAGGAAACTGCGTACAAAGAAATCGCGAGAAGCTGCATAACATGCATGAAAAAGATTTCGAATAATCTCACAACGGCCTCGCGACTCTATTGAAGTCTTCCTTTGTTAAACGACTCCATTTCCTAGCTCATAATTCTAGCAATAATATGCACCATTCATCGAGGCGTAGAAGCGGATGATAACATTGCGTTCTTTTCCTTCTTTAGTTTAAAAAAAAAAATAATAATAAAAATCTTATTCCAATTGTTTATTTGAATTCATCACGTACGGGCAAAATTTAAAAAATGACGAAAATAAAGAAATTAAATCAATTTCTTTTTCTCAAATTTCAACAATTTTATAATTATATACAATATCAGAGACCAACTTGTTGCTCTTCAAGTGCCACATATGTATTCGCAATAGACTATCTCGTTAAGATTTCGATTTGGACGATTTTAAAATTAAATGACATAATATTCGTATATATATATATACATTTGCAAAAATATCTCACGAAACAATATAGCTAATTACTTTATAATTGTTCGATAATTTGTTCATTAGCCGATGAATTACCATGAATAAATACATATGTGATATATGTATGTTAAGTGCATGAATAATGCTGTGTTTGCTAAACCAGTCGATGTCAGGTTGCGTTAATTCGCGCAATATTAGATAATCGAACGCGGAATATTTTCTAAAAAAGATCAGGTGTGAATTTGCGATCAATGTCGCGTTGTTATTCTCTATATATTTTTCTGAATAAAAACAAAATTTTAACGAAAGAAAAAATAATATTAATAAAAATTGTTGGAAAAATGGTCTCAGAATAAATGTATATCAGATGTAAATTCATCCACGTATTTTTTTTTTGAAGTGACTGCGCAAAATTATAGATTCTCGAAATTTTCTCTGTAACCATTTCTGCGAAATTACAACAGGATAGTCGCGTGACGATTACTCAGACTCGATTGGCACAAACCGCACGACTTGAAATTCGCCGGCATTGTACGCGACTCGGCCCGCATAGCACGGCGTTCTCGAATTCTCTTTCTCTCCGTCACAGTCGACCTTCATTCTTGCGAAATAGAGCGAAAAAAGAACGACAAAATCGCGCTATTCGTGAAAGAGCCGGTACTACCGAATTATGTAAGAAATCTTTAAAATCGGCTTGTACGTTCCCACACATTCGTGACATTGTAAATAAATTCGTCGGGTCGACAACCGATAAGCTCCATCACCGAATTTCGACCGTTGACGAACGAAACCGCTACAATTTATTAAAGGCATAAATCCCTGCGCGTCTTTTGTTCGTGCAAACTTTATGTATGGCAATTTATCGTATTCGAAGATTACCGAAAGTGACAGAGCGAATGCTCGAGAAGTAGGAAATGAGGGATTACCTTGATTAGCTTCCTCGTAGAGATTCGCTGTGCGAGAGACGCGGCTTTGTTGAGAAAGGAACGAGAACTAGCCGGTGACCGGTTTCGTGGAGAAGCTTTTGGTATCGACCGCTGCATATATATGTTAGATGATGTCGTAGCATCGAGAGAACGTTGAGACATCTAGCTGTCGCTTGCTAAAACCGCGAACTGGGGATATAATTTGGGGGAAGATAAATGTTGGCATTAACAATGCGCAGGGAATTTTCGATCGAGTTTCTTATATTGGTACGAAAGTGAAATAAAATCTAGGATAATACACTTTCTACAGTTGGCCACACTAATATTTACCTACCGGTAGAAGAAGAAAAAAAACAGTGACAGATGTACGTGTAATTCGTAATTTCTGTTAAAGTTTTAGAGTGCACTGAATTATATCAAGATTATATTTTTATCTAAACATTCTGCTATTCGTTACGAATTTTGTATTTATCGCAGTTCAAGAAAATTATGTTTTGCTTGTTGTAGGAACAGTAGTTCGCCTAACCTCTCAATATACACTGTTATTATCTGGAGACATTATTATTCGTAGTCATCGTTATAAAGGTAAATTGTTCTAGTCGTAACTCATTTAAAATTTACTTCGAACGACTGTTCGAATATTTTTCAAAAAAAATGCAATATATTTTGACAAATGCTTCATTAAAATGTCAAGTGTCACATCTTTTTTTCCACATTCTTCTTACGTAACTAATATATTCCGATATCTGATGCCATATTTAGTAAAAAATATGCACAAAAATAAATTCGCTTGAACATGTAGCTTGGGTTGGGAATGAATAAACGTCGTTTCGTAACCCATATAATATGCCGTACATGCTAATTATTTCTGCGTTATTTGTCTTTAATAACAACAATTTGTATAAATAATACATCTTGCGCATGCCGCAACATCGAAGGAACGACGCTATAGCGAACGCGCGTTTCCGCGCGCGATTTGCAGAGCCGTCGCCGAGTCGGGCACGAGATACAATTTTGATATATAAATAATACGCGGAAATGCCCGCGCGTTATATCCTATCTGTACGAATAATAATATATTTTTTGGCACTTACTAATTAAATCGAGACCTGGGCCATCTTAAGAATTAGACGAATGCGGCGAGTTCAATTATTCGAATCGGGACGGGAGATCCCGACGATCCCTCCTTTTCGCTCCTTTTTTCCCGAATTCCTTACGTGAGACGATTCGCAACGAATCTAGGAGAGCGTTCTTTCTCGCCAGGATGTCCGGAATAGTTCAGTACGTGGTGGTGCGGGGAGATCTTTCAAAGACAATGGGATGGCCGTTGGGCGCCGTGGTCGCCCAAGCGTGTCACGCGTGTACCGCCGTAACTCATCTCTTTTATAATGACACCCACACGCAGGCCTACCTCGCCGACTTAGACAATATGCACAAGGTTGTCCTCGAAGTGAGTATGATTCGATGAACTTTACGAGCGCACGCGAGCTTCGGCCGTTAATTTGCGTGTTAACCGCACGGTTAAATGAGTCACGTTGCATGCAAAGAAAATTACTTCGGACTCCTTCGTTTCAAATATGTTGGTCGCTATAAAACGCGAGCTCGCGTACCGAAATACATCCGTTTTCGATAAGAATAAAGTATAACAGCGAGAAATGTGAATATGAATAATAGGCCGCCGATGAAGCCAGTCTGCAAACGCTGTGTTCGAAACTGAAAGAGGACGACGTTCAGCACAAGCTGTGGATAGAACAGCCCGAGAACATCGCGACGTGCCTGGTAACAAAGCCCTACCCTAAGGACAAGGTGCAATCGTATTTCAAGAAGTTTAAATTGCTCAAGACATAAAGGAATAATAAATATTGCTACGATAAACAGAAACGTCTCATGTTACTTTCTACTTCGCGTTGCATCGAAATTAATCCCCTCTGCGTCATTCCGTAAAATCTGGATATTTGCGCCTGAGAAGAAATCTTGGAATATTTTGAATTCCGACGAAGGACGAAGATTCTTGATATATGCACGGATTGCGCAGTCATAATTAAAGAAGACGGTAGGCGAAAATCTGACGACACTGAGAGGATTAATAGGCGCAGCTCTCTAGCGCTCGTACAAAATAAATACAAACTTTGGAGGAACATTTATATTTTACCCTGCTTGAACGCGGAAGATCAATGCGCCGGAGATAAGCCGCGCTCTGCACACGTCTGTCGAGAACGTAGCGTCTGACTGTCGATATTCCGACGGGGTAACACTTTGGCTCTACCTCTCTTATCTTTCTTTTTTTCTCTTTCTCTATTTTTTTCCTTTTTTTTGCGACGTCGCTTCGACATACCGAAAATATTTGCGTGTAGGGGACGGGCTACAAACGTCCGAATGAGATAAAAAGAGAGAATAGCTCGACAAACGGCGGTCCGTTATTTCTGACATCGAGACGATATACACTTACTTGATTTATTGCGCGATACCTTGAAAGTATTGACAAAGTATGTGTATGCATAGGCATGTGTATGTTGTGTAAAGTCGTACTTTTCTTTCTTTGCATTACAGCTAGCGGTAGTACGATGCTAATCTAGACGGGAGTAACGCGGGATGCGCGCCACTAATCAACTAGTCGTATCAAAAAGTGTCTCTCTCTTCGCGAGCGTCTACGCGCGAGTCTACCTTGCCCTATGATTAATAACGGCGAAGATTTCTTCACAGGTACGGTTTAGCGTACGTTTTTTTTTCTTCTTCTAATAGGATTAGCTAAGAGGCGACCTGACAATTTCGTACGCAAAATTGTTGAGTGTACAATTTTTAAGGAATTTTTGAAGATATATTTGTACACGTATCTCTCTCGCCCTTTGAGTGAATCAACGGCACAGCGACGAATTTTCATGCAAAATATTTGTGAAGGAAAAAGAAATTGGAAATGCACTTCAGGTCGCGACTAAGAGCTAATCCGTCAGATCGCATTGCGACTTTCCCTTCCTCGCCTCTGCGTATCTCATCGCGCTCGCTGCAATCGCTGCGAAAAAAATCCATTCGTTCGCATGGAGACGCATCGAGCGTTCGTGTGTGCCCGGTAAGCGGATATGCGTTTTTCTTCCCAACTCGCGCCATCACGCTCGTCCACGAAATGTCCTACACGCGCACTTCACTGCGACTCTCTCCGGGATCAACTCCGATCGGGGTTTATTCCAATGTCTTCGCAGCGGTCCTAACGACGATCCAAGGACCGCGGTCATACATCCCGGATCGTTCCTCTTTTTCCCACGCGGGGAGCAAGCCGCGCACTTGGAAACCGGTAGTGCCGATCGTACGGCGGATCGGTCACCGTATACTTTGTGTGTGTGACGTTTACAGTATAAATCGTACGGGTCCGACGACACGAACGTCGCCGGGATACGATTGTAGATTCGCAGTAAGCTCTAATTATTTATGTACACGCACTGCGGACGCTAGACACTGTAAGTACACGTATTTACAACACTCGATGGCAAGATGATTATTTTGGTATATATATAATATAATTTTTTTTTTTTTTGTTTCGTAACGCAGTCGTAACGAGACGGGTTGGCGGGAACAGGAGGATATACAGAAGTCCTTATGAAAAATGCGCTATTGTCCTTGCAACATCACTGCCGCTCGTGTCCCTCCTCCTCTTCCTCCTCCTCCTCCTCTTCCAGCCATTGACGCAGAATGTTGCTCCTCGGCTGCAAAGCAAAAAAAGCGTCATTGTCTGTTCCGTGAAATGAGGTCGTTCGCGCGAGTTTGCAAGCAAGCTTTTATCATTTACTGCCGATGGGATCTCGATGCGTCCAATGGAGACAGGATACAGGATACTCGCAGAAGCAATCGCGAAATTTTTTCGACTAGCTAGCTTGAGGATAATTAGAGGATGCGAAGGAGACAATAAACGAGCATAAACTGGTGGATAAGCAATAAACGCGGAAAACATTACAATATATTTTAATACATGATATTTTCATCTGATTTTTCTTTCTTCATGAAAAGATCATTGATTTTTTGTCGTAATTTCATATTAATGCGTAATAAAAAAAAATATTTAAAGAAAAAATTCAACGCTGTAATTTAATTGGTTGAATAATTACACATGTGCAAAGGTTTGAAATTAAAATCATTAAAAAATAAAATTATTTTAAATTCAAAGTTTGACAAATTAATCGAAATACGTTATAAATAAGCGATTTTTAATGTCTCCTGTAAAATTTGCCTGTAAAATTTCCGTTTTATATTGAAAAATTGGAAATACGAAATACTTTAAGTGAATTATGGAGATAAATACATGCCATATAAGATTGCAAAAGTATATTGCTAATAGAAAATGTGCAAATCATTTGCAGCTAGATGAGTAGATTTCCGAAAAGATTCTCCGATAAACTTTGCTGGAGTTCAATCATGAATGCGGCAACGTCTCGTCTTGGCGACTGCAGCCGATAGATAAACGGCGCGCATCCGGAAGCGGAGAATACGAGCGGGATTACATGCGAGAGATCAAACTGCCGACGGCACATCGTGCGTTAGTATTACTACCGGGTATGCAATTACCGGGACCACGTTAGTTTGGGAGAACGGGGTGAGACGAGTGACGAGGGTGGCGGTGGTGGTGATGGCGGTGATGGTGTCGGTGTTGGTAGTTGTCGGTAGTGATTAGGGCAGCGCACAAAAACGAGCATTATTGCTCGGCTAGGTTCCCGTTCGGGTCCGTATAGTCCTCGTAATCGTCGTCCGGCTCCTCGTAATCCGTCTCCGCGGGCTCGGGACCTTCGATCACCGGCGAGGACGTGCTCGTGATATCCTGCTAAGCACACACGAGAATCCAAGCGTGCACCCGGCACTACACTCCCTCTTATCCCTTTCGATACTCCGCGTTAGTGCTGGTGGATTATTAGTGTCTACGCGATCGCCGCGATAACTAGGACGCACCGGTGGGTTTTTGGTTTCGCAGAATGATGTTTATCGAATTTGTCGATTCGAAACACATGGAATATCCTTCTCTTTCCTTTTTTTTTTTTTTTTTTTTT